TGTGTGTGTGTGTGTGTATTGCTTTTTTAATGTCATACAATCCACCTGACTGAATTGTGCAGGGCATCGTTGAGGAACAGAATGGTCTGTGTGAGGAGCTGAAGCTGCTGGAGGCTCAGGCTGATTCTCAACTCCGAGGCGAGAGAAGCAAGAGTTCCACTCTGCTGCAGGCGCTGGAGGGAGCTCCTCTGAAAACAGAGCTCTCCCTGCTGAAGGACAACCAGCAACTTGTTCTTCAGCTCCAGCAAATGGAGGAAAAAGTCAAAGTACGTCTGCCATACATCTGTCTTATATGTGCTTGTGACTGCTGTCATCAAGTAGCATCATATATAGTAACAGCAAGCTAGGTGGATTATTTCCTAGTATCCAGCACATCATTAAAAGCCAAAGCTCCAAAACAGATTGGATTGAATAGCTTACTACTAAAAGCTGTCTTTTTGTAGGTAGTGACAGATATGCGTTCTGTTTTTCAGGCTCTGAGTGTGCAGAATGAGCAGCTGGAGCACGATCAGATCAAAGCCAACAACAGGGTGTCCAACCACAAACAGGCAACCCAGCTCCTGCAGACAGAGCTGCAGGACAGCCGCGCACAGGTTGAGGAGAAAGACGGTATGATCCAAACCCTGAGGAGCAAACTGCGAGAGTCTGAGGTTAGTCTAAAGATCTCATTATCAAGCCCATCGTAATGGACAAAAGCAGCCTCTGATATAACTGAATAATCTGAATGAATTTTAAGCCTTAAAATGTGATTTTGACAGGTCTTAAAAATCCATTGCATTAATGAAGTTAACTTGTATAAAATTGCATTTTTCAGTCTGATTTTAAATGTGTATTTGTGAAATATTTGTATTGATCGTGCTGTTACAATTAGAAAACTAAACTAACATGGAGTCAGTACTGATTTTCCTTCATATTCATAGAAAAATGCATCGCCCAGTGCTGTTGAGATGGAAAAACTCCAGACTAAATTGTTCAAAATGGAGGTGGAGTTGAGTTCAGCATCTGCTAAACACCAACAAGAGTATGTATACTGTCTTCTTCTGTTTTTGTCTTACTCTTTGACTGTGCCTAATGGGTGTTGGTTTCTGTGGTTGCCTTCTCTTTGGCTGTTTGTGTCTAACCAGAGGTTTGTCCTCCTCAGGATCCAGAGCTTGAACACCTTGGTGAATGAAAAAGAAGACTCGCTGCGGAAGCTGAAGGAGACCCTGAGGAAGTTACAGCAGCAAGGAGATGATTCATGTAAGTCAGCAGTGTGTGCCTGAGCCTGTTTATTAAACCTGGTATTAACATAGGTCTTGGGTGAATTAATCACAAGTGGACAGCTCTAAATATGTGAGTTTACACCTGGTATTACAATGTGTCTCCATGAGCACTTGTGATTGGATCTTATTTCACCACTCTATATGCACATAAACACAACAGGGCTGGGACCTACGCAGAACTCTGTCAGAATGTTTACATCCTGCACTGTCACAAGCCTCTCGTCCATCAGTAGTTGGTTTGCTTCCTCCTGTGCCATAATACATAGAAAGAAAATAGTTCCTACATGAAACTGCTCACAACAAGGTCTGTGGATTATCTTGCCTATGACACATTGCTGTTGAGCTTTTTTTTGGGGGGGGGGGGCTTTGAGCACCACAAGCTGAATGCCATCTGGTTCCATTGTGTTGAAGATAAGGCAGAAATTATCTACTGCTGATATCTCCAGAACTCAACAACTCACACCAAAACTATTTAGCTAGATAAATGCCACTACAGGTAAGAGGAAGAATTTGGGATTTTGGGGTAATCTGCCCCTTAAGTTCCTACAACTATACTGACATTTGTGCACACAACTTAATTTTTATTTATTTATTTGCCCCTTTATGGCCTGAGGTTGAGCTCTCAAGTGCATCTGTTCTCCATTTAAGGAGGACATCAGCACTGATGTAGTCATGTTATATTCAGTCCTCCAGGGTGAAGACCTTCATGCCAGACTGACCAACCCCAGAGGGCTGGTGATCAGGAGCAGCATTGTGCTGGAGAAGACCAAACTGGAGGAGGAAGTCAAACAGCTTCAGCTGAAAATAACCGAGCTGGAAAGGTAAGATGAACTAGCGCTTGGACACTTAATGTGATTGATCGCATCCTTTAGTCCTGCTCTGACACCTGTCCCCCTTTTCACATTAGCCTGGTGTCCAGTCAGCAGGCAGAGATTGGTAAGTGGAAGGCCAGAGCCATCAAGCTGAAGGTGAAGACCAAGGCTGAGGTGGACAAGCCTTCACCACCATGCACGCCCACTAAAAGAGGACTCGCCACAACCTCAGACTCCTCCACCATCCTCAGCTCGCCCAAGAAGCTTCTGGTTACTCCCAGGAAGGTCTTGGACTCTCAGGGGAATGTCTTAGACTCTCCCAGAAAGCTGCTGGACTCTCCAAAGGTCCCTCGGCTCGACTCCCCCAAAAGCAGATTCTTTGATGTGGCTGTAAGCTCTGAGGTGCTGTCCAGAACCCGTCCCAAGCAGTTCTTTGACAACTCCAACCTCGGAACCATTCCAGGTAAGCTGCGTCTAGAGACCCCCCAACCCCACGACCCACTCCACTGCTACTTTATTTGTTTGGTGGTCTCAACGTCATAAAGACCCGAGCTGTTTGTCTTGCCAGAGGTTTCCCAGGTCCCTGATACAGCAGATGCAGAGGAGGGTAATATCTGTGTGTGTGTGTGTGTGTGTTTGGGTCATCACTGAGGGGTTACTAACAGAAGCATGAGGTGTTGGGACGTCACCTGTCCTGCATTGAGCCTTAAAACCCGAATAAGGACTGAGCACAGTTTTAAATTGACCTGAGCAACCTTTTGCTGTAGTTGAGCCATAATTTAATTTAATATCATTACCTGTATACGTTTGGTAGGGTACACTGTATGACACTTCAAAGCAGGTTTACCAGATGCAAAGTGGAACTGACTTGCAGCAATCTTTTCGGGTCGACTCTGGTTAAATTGATTAGATCTTTTCCATGGAGAAAAGCCTTCAGTGCTGTTCTTTGCTATTCTTTCAATGAACAAATACTCTCTAGTTCTAATAGAACTGATGCTAGCATCATCTACGCTAACCTCTTTAGCAGCAGCCATTGATGTTTTTGAGCAAGGTTAACAATACAGTCCTTTATGCATACTCTTTATTAGGCTGCAATCCTGCAGGAAAATGCCCACAATTCATAGTTCATGTTTAAAACGAATGAATGAAGGTGAGAGAGTATTAAGTCTGCACGATATTGTAAAAAAAATCATGTTGTGATTATTTCTACAGATATTGTGATATGATTCACAAATTTAACTTTCACTGAAATTAGTTTTTTTCTCAATTATGATGATGTGAAATGTTTTGGGGGTCTGTAGCAAACAAACATGTTTTTTTAAATCTGGAGATACAGATTTGTAGGCCAGAGAATCTGTACGGAAGCCGAGAACGGCCATGGATTTTTTTTTTATTATTATTGTTATATCGTGATAACGACTTATTATCTCGTTATCTCGTGATAACGA